CTCAACTGTAAAGAGGGATGAATGTGAGGATTGAGTGAAGCAATACAAGTAAATTGCTTAGAGAAATGTCTGCCACTCAGAAGCACTCAATATATTTCTCGGCAGTGCTGATCACATTGCTGTGCCTGGAATGCTTTCTTGGCAGTTGTTTAATCTTGAGACACACACATGCACACATCCTGAAATGCCAGATACATGGCTCACGCCTGTAATCCCAGAACCTTGGGAGGCCAAAGAGGGAAGATTGCTTGAGCCCAAGAGTTCCCAATCACGCTGGGCAACATGGTGAGACCCCGTCTCTACAAAAAATACAAAAATTACCAGGGTGTAGTGACATGTGCCTGTAGTCTCAGCCACTTGGGAAGCTGAGGCACGTGGATCGCTTGAACCCTGGAGGCAGAGGTTGCAGTGAGCCATGATTACGCCACTACACTCCAGCCTGGATGACAGGGCGAGACCCTGCCTCAATTTAAAAAAAAAAATGCCAGATACAGAAACTTACTTTTAAAGAACACTCATTTGGAGCCAGAACGGGGTGGCTCACACCTGTAATCCCAGCACTTTGGGAGGCCAAGGCAGGCTGATTACCTAAGGTCAGGAGTTCAAGACCAGCCTGGCCAACATGGTGAAACCCCATCGCTACTAAAAATACAAAAATTAGCCAGGCGTGGTGTGCGCCTGTAATCCCAGCTACTTGGGAGGCTGAGGCAGGAGAATCTCCTGAACCTGGGATTCGGAGGTTGCAGTGAGCCAAGATCGTGCCGCTGCACTCTAGCCTGGGCAACAGAACAAGATTCTGTCAAAAAAACAAACAAGACAACATTCATTTGGATGTAGCCCCCTCCCCCTTCCTGGGAGTCGCAAGGGCAGCAGGCCACCTCACTGCTAGAGATGTCCAGCAGGGGAGCTTGGCCTTCACCACTTACTAGCTGGGTGGCCTCAGGCAACACGCTCCCTTCCGTGCACCTCTTCTTCAACATCTGTGAGGGCGATGATCATGGTACTTGCCTCCTAGGTGGTTGTGGGGATGAAATGAATCATGCCTGTAAGTGCTTAGCACAGACCCTATAAAAGATGCCCAGTGAGAGCCACACCCAAACTCCTCTCCCTGTTCTTCAACATCTTCAGAAACCGGCCCTTCCTCTCCGTGTTTCTCCCGAGCCTGGCTCCACCCGTCTCAGGCAAAGCAGCCTGTGTCTTGCTCACATTCATTCCATGGCCTTTCCCAACCTGCTCAAGCCAGTGGCTTCCCTTCTGCTTTTGGCAGACATTGACGCCTGGCCTTGACATCACTGTTTGAACCTCTTCGTCTGGGGGGAAATGGATAGGATATTTGTAATATGATTACAGATTGTCATAACCAACAGGAAAAACAAGATCAGGGCTATGAGAGAGAGTGACAGGGTGGCCGTAGCTCAGGTTGAGCGGTCAAGGTAGCTGAGATGCAAAGGGTAGGGAAGAGCCAGTATGGGGGGCCGAGGGGCATGGAGAGGGTTCCTAGCAGAGGAAGCAGCATGCAAGACCTTCAAACAGGAGAGAGTTCAGCCTCTTTTACCCTCAAAACAGACTCAAAGCTCTGCTTTTTCAGAGGCCTCCCAGGACTGACTCAGTGTCTATCAATTATCTTGTATCTCTTTGGTATTTTCAGGACCCCCATCCAAGCAAACCCAGCAAGAAAATGTGCCTGAAAAATAGTCAATCAGCTGGGCGATGGCCAGGCACGGTGGTTCACACCTGTAATCTCAACACTTTGGGAGGCCGAGGCGGGCAGATCACCTGAAGTCAGGAGTTCGAGACCAGCCTGGCCAACATGGTGAAACCCCATCTCTACTGAAAATACAAAAATTTAGCTGGGTGTGGTGGCATGCACCTGTAAGGGAGGCTGAGGCAGGAGAATTGCTTGAGCCCGGGAGGCAGAGGTTGCAGTGAGCTGATATCACCCACTGCAATCCAGCCTGGATGACAGAGTGAGACCCTGTCTCCAAAAAAATATATATATATATACACACACACACATATATGTGTGTATATATATGTATACATATATGTATGTATATTTTTTAATAAAAATAAAGTCAATGAAAGCTTTTATTTCACAAAAGAAAGAGTCCCTTGAATTTTGCCTTTTCAAAAGCCGCCACTGTAGGATTCCTTTAAGTAGAGCCTCCCCCCCCAATACCTGTGAAACGAAGTCCAGCACAGAGCAGACCCTCACTCAGTATATGACATGAATGGAAGGTTCTATTTACATCAGTGCAGCAAGTAGCTGGGTGCTGTGGCTCACACCTGTATTCCCAGCACTTTGGGAGGCTGAGGTGGAAGGATTGCTTGAGCTCAGGAGTACAGGACCAGCCTGGGCAACATAATGAGACCCCCATCTCTACAAAAAAAATTTTTTAAATTAGCCAGGCATGGTGGTGTGTGCTTGTAGTCCCAGCTACTTGAGAGGCTGAAGTGGGAGGATTCCTTGAGCCCAGGAGATTGAGGCGGCAGTTAGCCGTGACCCTGCCACTGCGCTCCAGCCTGAACAACAGACCAAGACTCTGTCTCAAAAAATAAAGAAGACAAAATGCAGCAAACATAATGTTTACAGTTTACTTTGAAATGCATCAAAAATGTTTGATATGGGGCTAAATGTACAGATGTGTGATCAAGCAAGTATGGTAAAATCTAAGTGGTGAGAATGTTGGTGTTCACTATAAAACTCATCTTTTCATGATGTTTGAAATGTTTTCAAAATAAAATATCACAGGGGGAGGGAAGGAGCATATGTAATGAAATTATGGTATTCCACAGAATAAGGGAAAATGCAGTGACTATAAAGTGAGGAACCTTACATTTTTTGCACAAATGTAGGCCCCTCCCCTTGCCAGTCATTGAGCTCTTATTGATGCATGGCTTTGTGTGTTTGCATTCACATTCTGTTTATAGGCCTTGCCTCCGAGGAAAGCTGTGAATTCCCCAAGGGCAAGAACACTGTCTCTTAGTTCCAGTCCCCCACTGACGGAGTTTTGGAGCTGGAAGCAACAGTTGTGGAATCCCTGCCTCCGGGAAATACGCTGCCTTCAGGCATCTTGCTCCTGGTTGGAACGCAAGTCTCCCAGCGCCCAGGTTAGTGCCTGGGAGTGTTACAGAGACTTCACCGGGAACCATGAGAAGTCAGGTGCTGGCGATAGATGGAGCCAGACCCAGGCCTGCTGTTTTCTCTGTGGGTGCCCTTGTCCCACTGAGCTGCAGTGTCCTCATCCATACAGTGTTGACGAGAAGAGGGCTTCTGCCTTTGGGTTGTGGGAGACTTAAAGAACATGAACGGGCCAGACGAAGTGGCCTTGCCTGTAATCCCACCACTTCGGGAGGCCAAGGAGGGAGAATTCCCTGAGCCCAGGAGTTTGAGAACAGCCCGGGCAATGTAGTGAGGCCCTGTTTTTTGTTTCTGTTTTTGTTTTTGTTTGAGACGGAGTCTCGCCCTGTCATCCAGGCTGGTGTGCAGAGGCGCAATCTCAGCTCACTGCAACCTCCACTTCCCAGGTTCAAGTGATTCTCCTGCCTCAACCTCCTGAGTAGCTGGGATTACAGGCGCTCACCACCACACCCAGCTAATTTTTTTTTTTTTTTTTTTTTTTTTTTTTTTTTTTTTTTTTACACCTGTTATTTTTTTTTTTTTTTTTTTTGTATTTTTAGTAGAGACAGGATTTCTCCATGTTGGTCAGGCTAGTCTCGAACTCTGACCTCGGGATCCTCACAGCCTTGGCCTCCCAAAGTACTGGGATTATAGGCGTGGAGCTACTGCACTCCGGCCAAAAAATAATTTTTAATTAGCCAAGGGTGGTGGTGCGTGCTTATAGTTCCAGCTACTCAAGAGGCTGGTGGAGACTTCCTTGAGCCCAGGAGTTTGAGACCAGCCTGGGCACATAGTGAGACTAGTGAGATCCCATCTCTAAAAAAAAAAAAAAAAAAAAAATTTAATTAGCTGAATGTGGTGGCGCGTGCCTGTAGTAGTTCCAGCTACTCAGGAGGCTGAGGTGGGAGGACTGCTTGAGCCCAGGAGGTCGAGGCTGCAGTGAGCCATGATCGCATCTCTGCACTCCAGCCTGGACGAAAGAGCAAGACTCTGCCTCAAAAAAAAAAAAAAAAAAAGAGAGAGAGAATATGAACAACTCTGTACCCGGTACCTTGAGTCTAGCAAGTGCTCTATACTCAGTAATTGTAATCGTTGTTCCTCTGGGCTTTGAATGGTGCACAGATCTGAAAATGGGGCCTTCTGTGCCCTCACTCAGGTGGCTCCTGTCACCAACATGTCTTCCATCTGAGCCTTCCATCCTTCCCCCTCCTTCCCCTGAGAGGATCCCCGGCCCCATCCCGTGTCTCACTTTTCTTATTCACCGATTCCCCCTCTCCGCTGATGCCAAAGGGCAAAGACCTCTGTTTTTCCAGAATATCCTTTGTAGCTCTTCACTGTCTCTCTCCCTCCACTCACTGATTGTGTAAACTTGGTCATGTTTCTTAATGTGTGCAAGCCCCCACGTGCTTCTCTATAAAATAGGGCAATAACAGTCCCTTTCACCTAACTGGGTGGTTGGGAGGAGTCAATGATGTCACGCAGGTAACGCGCCTGGCAGGCAGCCTGGCATGTCTTAACTGCACAATAAATACAAGTTATTGTTGTTATTCTTTTGGCGCCCCACCCCCTTGACTGAGGATGCTACCTCCTGGACCCAAACCATTATCTCCCGGTGTGTCTGTCCCCACCAGGGGCCGGCAGTGCTTTTCCCTGCACGAGTCCTCCTGCCATTAGCCAGCACGAACTTTGCGCCCCAGTAAAGTATAGTTTGCCTCTATTACCTGCCCTTTTATGGCTGATCAGCCTGAAATCTCCAGCTCAACCCCCCTGTGCATCAGACACCCTGACTCCTTCAGCAAAGTAACAAGAAAAGACAAGCCCCTCCCACCTCCCTGTCCATCCCTCCTTAGGGAGCCCAGGGGACCACGATGAGACAGCATAGTGTATCGAGTTTATTCACAAATCCCAGTACAACCTCCTTCAGGGACTCCAGAAACCTGTCCCCCACCCCCAGCCCCTCCAGGTCATGTCAGCTGATGTGACAACGGCAACATTAGTCTCCCAGCAAGGGCAGGTGCCCGTTTAGGGCATGATGTTGGCGACGCTCTGGAAGAGAGAAGGAGAGCAGGGTGAATGCTGGGTCTACAGTCATGACGAGGGCCTGAGACCTCAGCCTCACCCCTCAGGAGAAGTGCAAGGGGCACTGGCTGCTCTGGCCCCGGAGTTAGGTTCTGAGGAACAGCTTCAGGAAGGCAGCATCTAAACTTAAGAACATGAGGAAGCCAGCCCCTGCAGCCAGAGGCGCTGGGGCCTCCGCAGGAACCAGCAAGCCTCGTGTGTTTAGCCTCAGAGGATGCTCTGCAGCCCCCATAGCCCAGGATACACAAGGTGTCCTCCTCCGTGACACACCCTCACCCTGGCCTGCACCCGGTCTCAGGCAGCAGATATAACAAGTGCAAAAAAAGCCTGGGCGCAGTGGCTTATGCCTGTAATCCCAGCACTTTGTGAGGCCGAGGAAGGGGGGATCACTTGAGATCAGGAGTTCGAGACCAGCCTGGCCAATATGGTGAAACCCCCATCTCTACTAAAAATACAAAAATTAGTTGGGCATGTTGGCGCACATCTGTAATCCCAGCTACTCAGGAGGCTGAGATAGGAGAATCCCTTGAACCCAGGAGGTGACACTTGCAGCGAGCTGAGATTGCGCCACTGCACTCCAGCCTGGGAGATAGAGTGAGACTCTGTCTCAATAAATTAAAATAAAGAAAGAGAGTCAGGAGGTTACTTTGAGCCCCAAGTGGGAACAAGGATTCCACAGGAGCCTCTACACTGGGGTGACCTTGCACCAGGGAGAGGACAAAGCCACAGGCTCCCCCTCCCAGCATGAAGCAAAGGCATTTGCAGCAGGGTGGGGACAGGAGGGAAGCCAGTCAGGAACGAGGACAGAGAGAGAGAGGGAATGAGAACAGTCAGCAGCCCCTCCCTGCTCCCTGGCTCCCAGGGGCACCAGGGCCCTGGAGGTCTTCTCTGCCAGCTTGTGTTTGCCTTGGTGGAAATGAAAAGCACCCAAAAGATGAGGGCAGGGTGCAAAGGGGAGGCAGCGGGTGGAGAGAGGGAAGCCCAGGACTGGGTATCAGGTTGGAAGGTCCAACAGACACTGGGAAGGGATCAGGGTGAGAGTGTCTATCAGGATGCAGAGCAGAAAGGAGACACCGTGTGGCACTCACCCTCCACAGAGCGGGAAGGTTGATGAAAGGCGTGTTGACCGAGGCCTGCAATCCAAGGACAAGAAGGTCAGTTTCCAGCGTCCGACCCACAGCCATGCTAGGGAACTCCCAGGGGCCTTCTCTCCACTACCCCGGGGTCCGCACTTACCCCAGAGGCTAACGGCGTGGTTGTGGCCCCTCCTTGATGGCCGGAAGATCCGCCTTGATGGTTGCCCTGTGGACAAAACCCAGACTCTCGTTACAAACCCTTAATCCTGGGGGTCTCCCAGTTCCCTTTCCCCAGTGACCGGGTCCCCTCCAGGGTGACTGGGGCTGGGGTGGGAGGCACAGCTTAACCCACTGCCTTTTCACTATCCAGAAGAGAACCCAAAGCCTGTGCTCCCGTGGGCATTCTGCCTCCTGCTACCTTTTCCTCCCCAAAGCCCCTTTTAATTTCCTTAACGAAGTGCCCTCAGTCACAGAGGAGGGGCTGGTGGAAAGGGAAGGTAGAGGACCCATGCCATTAGCAGGACCTAGTTTCACCTCAGCCCTGACCTCAAATCTACCCTTCTATGCCCTGTCTAGCTGCATCCCTAACTCCACTGATCCTCGTCCTTAACCCAGCCCCAGACACTCAGCCATGCACCCCAGCAGCGCCCCCAAGCCCGGATGCTGTTGCGAGCCCCAACTCCCACAGTGCACCTCTGCTCGCAGCACCCTGCAGCCTGCCGCGCCCACTCCTCTACTGCACCGTTCCTCCCCACCCTGGCTCTGTCTGGCGGCAGATGTGGCTCTGGGCTTTGAGTTCGGAGACAGTCACATCTTGCAAATCCCAGGACCCCTCATGGAGCCTGGAAAGTGAGGGCGCACAGGAGTCCAACCTCTCCTGCTCCCCACGCTCCCTTCTTGGTGTCTGTTCTGTTGTGAGTGGTGCTATTTGCCTGCCTCCAGTCTCTGTTCCCTCTACATATTTTATTTTAGTATTATTATTATTTTTTGAGACAGAGTCTCACTCTGTTGCCCAGGCTGGGGTGCAATGGCACGATCTTGGCTCACTGCAACCTCTGCTTCCCGGGTTCAAGGGATTCTCCTGCCTCAGCCTCCTGAGTAGCTGGGATTAGAGGCGCCCGCCACCACACCCGGCTAATTTTTGTATTTTTAGTAGAGACGGGGTTTCACTATGTTGGCCAGGCTTGCTCTTGAACTCCTGACCTCAAGCGATCTGCCTGTCTCGGCCTCCCAAAGTGCTGGGATTACAGGCATGAGCCACTGAACCCGGCTTCTGTTCCCTCTGCATAAATAGGTGAGAGAAACCTTCCAGAAAAACTCTCCTGGCTGGGCAGTGTAGGGGAAGAAAACGCTGGCCTGCCCTCCGCCAAAGCTGGGCACTAGCCACAGGACCTTGGCACGTCCCCTAACTTGTCTGAGCCTTTGTTTCCTTATCTGAGAATCAGGGCGCCAGCAGCCTCATCTTGACCACATCAGAGGGTAGTTACGAAGATTGCACAGGCCAAGGCTCATCTGCAAAAGCTGTTCCTCATGCTCACTCTCCTCACCAGGTTTTCTCAACACTCAATGCCTTTGCAGTGAGTGCCTATACTAGATCTTGATCTCAGAAATTGTTTCCCATTCCCCAGGAGGGGCTTCACGGTCCCCACTTGAGGCCCCCTTAACCGGGAGTGCCCACCACCCTGTCTGATACATGCTTTGCAGATAAGGTGGCTCACCCCATCTGACCAGCTACCACCAGCTCTTTCGTAAGGGAGATGGGGAAAGGGGAGAAGCACAGTGATACAGCTGCCCAAGCTTCTTTCACCAAACGAAGACTACATGGACCCCCTAAATGTCCCAGGGGTTTAACCTTTCCCTCCCCCAACCCCTCTGTCCCCCATTTCCCCATCCCTGTTCACCTACATTCAGCAGCTGGTTGGCCTCCTTGCTGGCTTGGTTGACCCCATTATGAGCATTCTGCGACTCCTTCCCGGCCTGGCCAGCAGCATGGTGGGCACCTTGGCCAAGCTTCTCCACTTCCTTTCCAGCCTGGTCAGCAGCATGGTTGACCCCTTGGCCAAGTTTCTCTGCTTCCTTCCCAGCCTGGTGGACCCCAGTGTGGAACCCTTGGACCGCTTTGTCTGCTTCCTTTCCGGCCTGTTCAAGGGTATGGTGAACTCCCTGGCCAAACTGCTCTGCCTCCTTCCCAGCCTCGTGAACCCCGGTGTGGAACCCTTGGACCGCTTTGTCTGCTTCCTTTCTGGCCTGGTCAGCAGCATGGTTGACCCCTTGGCCAAGTTTCTCTGCTTCCTTCCCAGCCTGGTGGACCCCAGTGTGGAACCCTTGGACCGCTTTGTCTGCTTCCTTTCCGGCCTGTTCAAGGGTGTGGTGAACTCCCTGGCCAAATTGCCCGGCCTCCTTCCCGGCCTCATGGACCCCGGGTTGGACACCATGGACTGCTATGTCTCCCTCTTTCCCAGCCTGCCCTGCTGCGTAGTGAATGTTGTGGCCAAACTGCCCCGCCTCCCTTCCAGCCTGACTAATGCCATGATGGAGGCCTTGGACCGCTCCGTCTCCCTCCTTCCCTACCTGCGAAGCAGCATGGTGGACTCCCTGGCCAAACTTCTCTGCTTCCTTCCAGGCCTCATTAACCCCATGGTGGATCCCATGGCCGAGCTTCTCTGTTTCCTTCCCAAACTGACTGGCAGCATGGTGGACCCCCTGGCCTAACTTCTCTGCCTCCTTCCCAACCTGACCAGCAGTATGGTGGATTCCCTGGCCAAACTTTTCTGTCTCCTTCCAGCCCTCACTGAGCCCATGATGGGCCCCCTGGCCAAACCTCCCTGCCTCATTTCCGGCCTGCCCGCTGACCCATTATGAGCATTCTGCGACTCCTTCCTGCCTGGCCAGCAGCATGGTGGCACCTTGGCCAAGCTCTCCATCTTCCTTTCCAGCCTGGCTGGCAGCATGGCTGACCCCTTGGCCAAGTTTCTCTGCTTCCTTCCTGTGCCTGGTGGACCCCAGTGAACCCTTGACCGCTTTTGTCTGCTTCCTTTCCGGCCTGTTCAAGGGTATGGTGAACTCCCTGGCCAAACTGCTCTGCCTCCTTCCCAGCCTCGTGAACTCCCCCGTGTGTGGAACCCTTGGACCGCTTTGTCTGTTTCTGGCCTGGCTGCAGCATGGTTGACCCCTTGGCCAAGTTTCTCTGCTTCCTTCCCAGCCTGGTGGACCCCAGTGTGGAACCCTTGACCGCTTTTGTCTGCTTCCTTCCGGCCTGTTCAAGGGTGTGGTGAACTCCTGGCTAAAATTGCCTGCCTCCTTCCCGGCCTCATGGACCCCGGGTTGGACACCATGGACTGCTATGTCTCCCTCTTTCCCAGCCTGCCCTGCTGCGTAGTGAATGTTGTGGCCAAACTGCCCCGCCTCCTTCCAGCCTGACCACGCCATGATGGAGGCCTTGACCGCCTCCGTCTCCCCTCCTCTCTTCCCTACCTGGGTGAAGGCAGCATGGTGGACTCTACAAACTGCTTCCCTTCCAGGCCTCACAACCCCATGGTGGATCCCACACGCCTCTGTTTCCCTTCCCAAACTGACTGGCAGCATGGTGGACCCCTGGCCTAACTTCTCTGCCTCCTTCCCAACCTGACCAGCAGTATGGTGGGATTCCTGGCCAAACTTTTCTTGTCTCCTTCCAGCCCTCACTGAGCCCATGATGGGCCCCTGGCCAAAACTCTCCCTGCCTCTACTTCCTCGCCTGCCCTGCAGCATGGTGGATACCGACAAACCTCCTGTTCACCATTTCCGCTCTGCCCCGCAGCATGGTGGGCCCTGGCCAAACCTCCTGCCTCATTTCCGCCTGCCCTGCAAGCATGGGTGGATACCCTGGCCAAACCTCCTGCCTCATTTCCGGCCTGCCCCACAGCGTGGTGGGCCTCTGGCCAAACTTCTCTGCCTCCTTCCCAACCTGACCAGCAGTATGGTGGATCCCCTGGCCAAACTTCTCTGCCTCATTTCTCTCCGGCCTGCTCCCACAGCATGGTGGGCCCCCTGGCCAAACTTCTCTGCCTCCTTCCCAACCTGACCAGCAGCATGGTGGATCCCCTGGCCAAACTTCTCTGCCTCTTTCCCAACCTGACCAGCAGTATGGTGGATCCCCTGGCCAAACTTCTCTGTTTCCTTCCAGCCCTCACTGAGACCATGATGGACCCCCTGGCCAAACCTCCCTGCCTCATTTCCAGCCTGCCCCGCAGCATGGTGGATACCCTGGCCAAACCTCCCCGCCTCATTTCCAGCCTGCCCTGCAGCATGGTGGGCCCCCTGGCCAAACCTCCCTGCCTCACTTCCCGCCTGGTTGGCCCCGTGATGGACCCCATGGTGGATCAGTTTGTCTGCCTCCTTCCCAACCTGTCCAGCAGCGTTGTTGACCCCATGGCCAAACTTCTCTGCTTCCTTTCCTGCTTGTCCAATACCATGGTTGATCTCATGGGCTACCTTGTCCATTCCGTGGTTGAGCCCCTGGACGCCTTTGTCCAACTCCTTGCCGGTGTGGCTCCCCATGTTGCTAAGTCCTGCAGCATGGTGGATCACCTGGCCAAACCTCCTGCCACCTCATTTCAGCCTGCCCATATCTGGTAGGCCCCTGGCCAAACCTCCTGCCTCATTTCCGGCCTGCCCCTGCAGCATGAGTGGATACCTGGCCGACCTCCCTGCCCTCATTTCCGTACTGCCCCACCCAGTAGTAAGTGAGCCCCCTGGCCAAACTTCTCTGCCTCCTTCCCCAACCCTGACCAGCAGTATAGTGGATCCCTAGCCAAGCTTCTCTGCCTCATTCCGGCCTGCCCCACAGCATGGTGGGCCCCCTGGCCAAACTTCTCTGCCTCCTTCCCAACCTGACCAGCAGCATGGTGGATCCCCTGGCCAAACTTCTCACCTCTTTCCCAACCTGACCAGCAGTATGGTGGATCCCTGGCCAAACTTCTCTGTTCCTTCCAGCCCTCACTGAGACCATGATGGACCCCTGGCAAACCTCCCTGCCTCATTTCCAGCCTGCCCCGCAGCATGGTGGATACCTGGCCAAACCTCGCCTCATTTCCAGCCTGCCCTGCAGCATGAGTGGGCCCCCTGGCCAAACCTCCCTGCCTCCTTCCCGCCTGGTTGGCTTCCCGTGATGGACCCCATGGTGGATCAGTTTGTCTGCCCTCCTTCCCAACCTGTCAGCAGCGTTGTTATTTTGTGGCCAAGCTTCTCTGCTTCCCTTTCCTGCTTGTCCAATACCATGGTTGATCTCATGGGCTACATACATCCATTCCAGTGGTTGAGCCCCTGGACGCCTTTGTCAACTCCTTGCGGTGTAGCTCCCCATGTTGCTAAGTCCATTGAAAACCTTCTCCACTTCCCTTCAGCGTGCATAGACCACTGTTGATGCCATCCAGGGCCTTGCCCACCTCTCTCTGCATTTGCTCAGCCCTCGGTTTGATCCCGGCCCAATGACCTTCTCAATGGGGTCATCGCTGTGCCGCCATCCAGGCAGGGCCCCCAGTAACAGAAGGAGGCAGCAGGAGCTGACCAGATGTGCAAGATGCATGTGCTGGGAAGGTCAGGGAGGATGCAGAGAGGGCGAAACCACACTGCTATTTATTCTCTCTCCCTCTAGCCCTCTTCTCCACCCCTCATGACTCAATTACCTGGGAGGCACTGACTTAGATCCTCCAGTCAGGAGGTGTTTCCCAAGAGATTTGGAGTTGAGCAATGGAGGAGGAGGAAGAGAAGGAGTGAGTCATGGATGGAAGAACTCTGGCATCTTTGCTTCTTGCCCTCCACCCCAGAGATGGGTGTCTGCCCTTCCAACCACCTCCTCTTTTCATTCCTCACCCACTGTCCAGGACTCCTCTCTCTCAAACCCACCTTCCACCCTCTCCCTCTGTCCCTGGGATGCAGAAGTTCCTCAACACCTCACTCCTCTCAGACATCTAAACCCGCTCCCCAGCAGTGAGGCTGATAGGAGGCACACCGTCCGGAGAGGGAAGAACCCTAGAGTTTGAGGAGTCATCGGGGGTTTGAGGGAGTCATCAGACCTCATTCTTGTGGGCCAGCCCCTGCCCTTCACTCATTCCATTCCAGCTACACAGGCCTTCTCCCTGTTCCACAAACACACCAAGCTCATTCTCGCTGCAGGGCCTTTGCACATGCTCCTCTCTCTGCCTGGAACACACAACCCAGATCTTCACATGGCTGGCTCCTCCTCACCCGTACTTGACTTAAATGCCAACTTTGAAAGAAAACTTCCCCTGACCATAACATGACATTAATTATACTCTGTAGTATCACCCTTTTGTTTTCACAGCCAAAAAAAAAAAAAAAATTCTGAAATTATCTTTATTTTTTATTGCCTGTCTCACCTACTAGGAATGTAAATTGGTCATGTTGGTCACTGCTGTATTCATAGCTTCTTGAACACTGCCTGGGGTTCAGTAAATATTTATTGACTGGACAAATGGATGGATTCAAGGAAGCCAAAGGAAGAGACTCCAAGCCCAAGTCTGGGTTTCACAGGGTGCTGGAGGGAAGGGCGCCTGGGTCGCCAGGACAGCATAGGGTCTCTTGGGGAGTGTCGCGGATTTTGGAGGCGGGATCCCATTCCTGTCACAGAACCCAGACCGCCTGCCTCCCAGCCCTTGGGCAAGGGCAGGGGGCTGATTGCCATGAGCTGGAACAGGACGCAGTGTCTCCTGAAAAGCCGGTCGAGGCAGCCACGGGGAGGGGCCGAAGACCTGGGGCAGCAGGAGCCTGTGAGACAGAACCTGGGCTGGGGCCAGGCGCTCATCCTTCCTGCCCTCACCGCATGGGCCCTCCTAAGCCCCAACCTGAAGCTCCAAGTGTTGACATTTTGGCTCAGGTTGGAGGGGAAACAGCTGAGAGTCTGACCTTGGGCATGAAAAGGGCATTGGAAGGAAGGGCAGGTGGTGGTGGGCAGGCTTGGGGCAGCAGATGGATCTAGGAGCCAGTTTGGAGGAGGCTAAGACCAGAACAAGAGCCAGTGGGTGGCTACAGTGGGTGCAAGGGTGAAAGATATTTGGGTTTTGGTGCCAAGGGGAGAGACTGAGAGAGGGGTGGAGGTGGGATTGCTGGTGGGAAGGCCAGGCAGGAAGGAATGTGCAGGGTGTGAGCAGCTGGAGGTGGCAGAGCTATGTGTGTGGGTGCCCAGGTGTGGCGAGAATCTGCACGTGTTTTCAGGCTTTGCTCAAACAAGAGTGCTAAGGCCCACTCCCCTCAGAGGACCCAGGGTTCCTCTCTGGCTCCTGGATACTTGACTCCACCCAAAGACAGGCATCCCAGGACAGATACCCAGAAGCTTCTGCCTTCTCTGGGCTCTGCCTATAGAGGGTGACTAAGTGTGCCACCTCTCCAAGCTTGAGTTCATCAAATCTGTTTCCTGGTTTCACACTCCAGGGAAAAAGCCAACTTCCTGGGCAAACTCAGGTGTGGTTTTTCTGCCCTGGTCCAGGGCCGAAATGATGGAGTTTCCCACACCAGGAGGTGGCTGGGCAGAGAAGAGTGGGTGATGAGTGTCAGAATCCTGATCCACCCGGAGATCAAGAGGTGGGGTTTGTCCCACTTTGAACTGTGTTCCATCTTCTTTTTGTTTTTTTGGAGGCACAGTCTTGCTCTATCCCCCAGGCTGGAGTGCAGCGGCGTGATCTCGGCTCATTGCAACCTCTGCCTCCCAGGTTCAAGTGATTCTCCTGCCTCAGCCTCCTGAGTAGCTGGGATTACAGGTACACGCCACCACACCTGGGTAATTTTTGTATTTTTAGTAGAGATGGAGTTTCACCATGTTGGCCAGGGTGGTCTCAAACTCCTGACCTCAGGTGATCCACCTGCCTCGGCCTCCCAAAGTGCTGGGATTACAAGCGTGAGCCACTGCACCCAGCCAAAATCAGCCCTTTTTTAATCCTGGTTTTGTCGATGTTATATTTTTCACCTCCTTGATTGTACACCAAAATGTAGCCCCCTTTGTTTAATTAATCATCTGTGTTTTGGTCTCGGTTCATTAAAACCTCCTCACCTGTACACCCAGTTTACTTTCTTCTCCCAGGCTATCAAAGAAGGAGAACCTCCCCCTGCCCCAGTCCCATGGCAGGTGCTTGGCAAATGAATTTCCCATGGATGTTGGAGGAAGGAAGAGGTTATATCATTCTGCTCCTTCTTGTATCCATCCCTCTCTGGGATGGTGACTCCTTCCTGGTGCAAACCCCGACTCCCCCTGAATCTTGGTCACAACTGCGTGTCAACCTGCTGTGCAGGTGAGGGTGCCTGCCTGTGAGTCACTGAGGTGCAAGCAAACCCCTACCCCGGGGCAATAGGGGAGGGAGCTGTTTGTCCACTTGTTGTTTGTCAGATGTTTATTGAAAACCTGCTTTGTGTTGTTCTAAGTGCTAGAGGCACAGTTGTGAACAAACAAACAAGAACACGAGCCCTGTGAGGGGTTTAGAGCCCAAGGGGGAGACATCGAACAAATAAACCAATCAATAGATCATGACAAACTACATGAAAAGCTACAAGGAAAAGAATGGGTGCTGCGAGAAGATGTGACGTGAAGAGTGTGATAAGATTGGCAATCAGGGCCGGGCAAGGTGGCTCATGCCTGTAATCCCAGCACTTTGGGAGGCCCAGGGCAGATGGATCACCTGAGGTCAGGAGTTTGAGATCAGCCTGGCCAACATGGTGAAACCCCATCTCTACTAAAAATACAAAAAAAAAAAAAAATTAGCCAGGTGTAGTGGCACATGCCTGTAGTCCCAGCTACTGAGGAGGCTGAGGCGGGAGAATCACTTGGATCCAGGAGGCAGAGGTTGTGCTGAGCCAATATCACATCATTGCACTTCAGCCCAGGCAACAAGAGAGAAACTCTTGTCTCAAAAAAAGAAAAGAAAAGAAAAGATTAGCGATCAGATGAAACCTCAGGAATTGACATTTATTCATTCAGGCATAGTTTATTGGGCTAATGCCTTTTTCTGATTTTCAGACAGGGTCTTGCTCTGTTGCCTGGCTGGAGTGCAGTGACACAATCACAGCTCACTGCAGCCTTGACCTCCCAGGCTCAAGTGATCCTCCCACTTCAGTCTCCCTAATAACTGGGGCGACAGGTGCGCACCAACACACCTGGCTAATTTTTTAATTTTTTGTAGATACAGGGTTTTGCCACGTTGCCCATGTTGGTCTCAAACTCATGGGCTCAAGTGATCCTCCCACCTCGGCCTCCCAAAGTGTTGAGATTACAGGCATGAGCCACTGTGACCAGCTCACAAACACCTTTTAAGTGCCAAACACTTTCCTTGTCAATGGGATGTAGAAGTGACAGAGATGACGTCCCTGGTCTCTCAGAGCTTACAGTCTAGTGGGCAAAGACAGTTGGCAAGAAAACAATTTTGAGAGAGACATGTGTTCTAAGGAAAATAAAAACATAGACAGTGTAGCCCTAGAGAAATTTTGCACATTGGAACATAACCCAGAATGTAGAAGTCAGACAAGGCTTCCTGGAAGATGGGCAGAGATTGGGGGGAAGGGGGTGACGGCTAACAGGGACAGAGAAAGGAGGGAACTTAGATGGGGAGTCTAGAAAGCCTCTCTTAAAGGGTGGGAAACCAAGAGGCAGCCAAGGGAAGCCCTGGGTGGGTTTTCCAGGCATATGGAGGCAGCTGGAGTCACTCCGGGGGAGAAGCCAAGGAACAGTATGGAGACTGTGTACTTCAGGAGACAGAGAACAGGAAAGGGCTTTCAGCAACGGTGTAAAAGGTGGAATTCCAGGCTGGGTGTGGTGCCTCACTCCTGCAATCCTAGCATTTTGGAAGGCTGAGGTGGGAGGATCACTTGAGCCCAAGAGTTCTAGACCAGCCTGAGCAAAAGAGTGAGACTCTCTCTCTACAAAAAAATAAAAAATAAAAATAGCCTGCCGTGAAGGCTGCACATGTAGTCCCAGCTACTCAGGAGGCCGAGGCGGGAGGATCGCTTGAGCCCAGGAGTTCAAGGCTGCAGTGAGCCATGATTGCACCACTACACTCCGCCTAGGAGACAGAGTGACACCCTGTCTCAAAATAAATAAACAAATTTTAAAAAGTGGGATTCCACTCCAGATGGCAGAGTGTGGCCATGGAATGGTGGTGCATAGCATGCTGACTGTCCCATGCCTCTACGGAGATGAGATGCGGTGGTCTCAGGCCTCTGGCTTGGGCACTGCCTCCTGGGTGGCGTCACTGGATACTGTGATGTCACTGGGTACTGTGACATCACTGGGCACTGTGACATCACCGCAAGAAGCCCCGGACCCACCAGCCCTGGCGCTCCGCACGCACCTCAGTAACATCGCGGCAGGTCCCGGGGCAGCCAGGCCAATGATAACCTTATAAGAGGCCATGTCGAAGCGAGACATCGTCCTCACTAATGTCACTGTTGTCCAGTTGCTGCGACAGCCGTGCCCGGGTGAGGGAAGCAGCGGAGGGCGCGGGGGAGGGGTGGAAAGGGTAATGGGGAGCATCTGCACCCTCACACCTGTGCCGCATCCCGACCGCCCTTCCTGGCGTGTGCGCCATCTAGGGACAAGGGGATCGTCTGCCCTCCCTCCCTCCACACCCGCCAGTGTGCTGGCAGA